AAAAAAAAAAAAAAAAAAAAAAAAAAAAAAAAAAAATAATAAAATGGAGAAATGGTTAAGTAGACTTTTCTCCAAGAAGACTATACGAATAGTCAATGAAAAATTTAAAAATGCTCAATATCATTAGTCATTAGGGAAATGCAAATCAAAACCACAATGAAATCCTACTTTACACTCACTAGATTGACTATTTAAAAAAACAAAACAAAAAACAAAACAAAACAAAAAAAAAACAAGTGTTGACAAGAATATAGAAAAACTATAGCCTACATTGCTGGTGGAATTGTAAGTGTGCCCACTTTGGAAAATAGTTTGACAGTTTCTCAAAAGATTAAACAGTTACCATATGACCCAGCAATTCTACTACTAGATGTCATATATGCAAGAAGAATGAAAACATACATCCACACAATGTACATGAATGTTCACAGTAGCATTTTTTTAAAAGCATATAAATAGAAATTACCCAAATATCTGTGGGTAAACTGTGTGACACAGTATATTCCTCCCCAGGGAATGTCTGAAATTGGATAGTTTCAGAACTCTACATATACTTTTTTCCTATACAGATATACCTTTAATAAAATTTAATTTCTACATTAGGCACAATAGAGATTAACAATAACAACTAATAATAAAATGGACAATTATAACTTTATAGTGTAATATGTTATTTAAAATGTGAATTGTTGGGCTGGGGATGTGGCTCGAGTGGTAGCGCGCTCGCCTGCCATGTGTGCGACCCAGGTTCGATCCTCAGCACCACATACCAACAAAGATGTTGTGTCCGCCGAGAACTAAACAATAAATATTGAAAATTCAAAAAAAAATGTGAATTGTTTATTTCTGGGATTTTTCCATTTATTATTTTCAGCCCAAAATTTACCTGAAACTGCGAAAAAGGGAAATCATAGATAAGGGGGGACTACTGTATGTCATATGATGGAATATTATTAAGTAGTAAAAAGGATTGAAAGACTGACACATGCTGAAACAGAGCTGCCTTGATAGCACTATGAAGTGAAAGAAGGTAGTCACCAAACACCGCATATTGTAGGATTTAATTTTATATGAAAGGTTCAGAATAGGGAACTCTATATGAGACAGAAAATCAATTAATAGTTTTCTAGGGCTGAGATGGAGGAAGAATAGGAAGTGCCTGCTAATGGGTATGTGATTTCTTTTGGGGGATGATGAATGCATTGTAGAATTAGCAGGTGGTGGTAGCCACACAACTCTGTAAAGATATTAAAAATCATTGAATTTGTACAATTAATCTAAGGGAATTTTACAGAAATTCTATCTTAATAAAGCTATTTTTAAAAAGAGGAATTTAGGGCAAGGCTTGTGTGTACAATATATATTCAGGCAAACTTTCTTTTATTGTTTTTGTTCAGAGAGGCAATAGGACATATGAAAGAAGGTGAAGAAGAAAAGACTAAGACCTATAGTGCCTTAATATGGACAAATAAAGTAATACAGAAGAAAGACATCGAATTCCTGAATGATATAAAGGTAGTTTAAGTGTTCTGTTCTTTTGTTTTTCTACTGTCTATATACTGTCTGTTGTCTTCTAATTTATAACCAGAAAGTCATAGAGCATGGGCTTTTGGGTCTGTGAGACCTGGATTCAAATCCTGGCTTTGATTCCACTTACTATCTGAATGACTTGGCACTTCATCTAACCTGTTGGCTAGACATTGTTGCTAGTGATTAAGAGCCCTGCTCAGAAGACAGATCTCTTGGGTGAAACCCTGATCTGCATTTCTTAGTGTGATTTTGGACAAGTTACCTAAGCTAATGCTTCAATTTCTTCATCTGTAAAATTAGTTAAATAATTAATTTAATCATGTAAAACTCAGAATTGTACCTAGCATGTAGAAAATGCTCAATAATGCTATTATTTGTATTTGATTACATGAAATAAAAATATCTAGCAGAACTAATAATTAAGATTAAGTACATGAGGACTGGGGATATAGCTATATGTGAAGCACATACATTTTGACACAAAACTTCGAGGGCATGTCACTAATACAGGGTCTCCCTGTTCTTTTTTATATTTCTTTCCACCTTCTCCCATCTCTTCCTTTGAAGATAATTGGCTTTCAAATGCAAGGAATGAGCACAGATGGACTCAAAGAAGTATATAGTACCAGGTGCAGTTGCACACTCCTCTAATCCCAGCAACTCAGGCAGCTGAAGTAGGAGGATTGTAAATTCCAGGCCAGCCTGGGAAATACTGAGACCCTGTCTCAAAATAAAAAATAAAATTGACTAGTGATGCAGCCCAGTGGTAAAGCACCTGTGGGTTCAATTCCCAGTATCTGCAACCCCCCCCCCCAAAAAATCAGGACATTGTTTAAATGGGCCGTAGTTTGTAACAATATACATGACCTGCTAAAGGAGACTGGTTTAATACTATGGCTTTTTTGTATAATGGACTATTACTTTATTACTCTCCAGATATAAAAAATTATGTGGTAGATATTTATTAGCAAAGGACAATGTTCCTGATAAGTGTTAAGGGGAAAAAAGGTATAAGATAATATGGTACATTGTGATTTGGGCACACACAAATGTGTGTGTTTGTCTATATATGACTACACAGGAAATAAATTATATGGTAAAAGATACCATAAACAGGATTTAAACTTAATCATGAAAAAAAAAATAGAAGGAAATAGAAGGAAAGAGCAGCTAAAGAAAAGAGCAACTCCAAATGCCAAGAATCATTTGGAAAGATGTTCTGTCTCCAGGATGAAGTCACAGTAGGACATCACTTTATTCTCATTAAAATAATAGCATGAAACAGTAGGTTGAGGAGAAGAATATTGTATATATTGTTAGTGAAAATGTAAAGTATTCAACCTTTTTGGAAAGCAACATGGAAATGACTGTAAAAACTAAAAATACACTGGTTTTCTACCCAGCACATCTTCTACTGACAATCTTTTATAGAAATGAAACTCCAGCACATGAAGATATGTGCATAAAGAGGTTTACTGATTTTTTTCAGAGTGGTAAAATCAGCAATAATAAAACTGAAAGTGGTGGGATAAATTGGAATATCATGTAGCCATTAAAGAACAAAACCAACATGTTTCCATTCAATTTAAGTTAATGTGTGTATACATGCCTTAAAATGTTGGGAAAAAAGATAAAAGTACATCTGAATCTATGACTTGTAGAAGCACCCATGACATTATGAAAAAAAAAGTGAAATGCAGAGTAGTGTTTGTAGTGTGAGTGGTTTTATTGAAAACATGTATCATTCACTTACTGAGTGAAGCTTATCCATAAAACGAGAGGATAGGCTTCTGGAATCACCTATAATGGCCACTCAAATTCTCAGGTTCTATAATTCTGTATCTAAGTCCCTTTGGCTTTTGGTCTTGCTACCTAGGGTCTTTAGGTTAGTAGTTAATATAGACAGATATTTTATTTTTAAGATTGCCAAACAGATTTCTAAACTTTTTTTGGGGGGGTGGGGTACTGGGGGACTGAACCCAGTGGTGGTGTGTTTTTTAAACCACTGAGCCATATTCCCAGCCATTTTTCTTTTTTGAGGCAGGGTCTCACTAAGTTGCTTAGACTGGCTTTAAATTTGTAATACAGCCAGCCGTGGTGGCACACGCCTATAATCCCAGCGGCTCAGGAGGCTAAGGCAGGAGGATTGTGAGTTCAGAGCCAGCCTCAGCAAAAGTAAGATGCTAAGCAACTCAATGAGACCTTGTCTCTAAATAAAATAGGGCTGGAGATGTGGCTTAATGGTCAAGTGCCCTTGTTCAGTCCCCAGTACTCAAAAACAAAACAAACAAACAAACAAAAAACCTTGTTAATACTCCTGCCTCAGCCTTCCAAGTCACTGGGATTATAGGTGTGCACCATCATGATCAGTTCTAAACTTTTGTATTCCTTCACATGTATACAAGTCATTCAGAATGCTGTGGGAAAAATAAATTCATTTAAAAAGATAGATTCAGGGGGCTGGGAATGTGGCTCAAGCGGTAGCGCGCTCGCCTAGCATGCGTGCGGCCCTGGTTCGATCCTCAGCAGCACCACATACCAACGAAGATGTTGTGTCCCCCGAGAACTAAGAAAAAATAAATGAATGTTAAAATTCTCTCTCTCTCTCTCTCTCTCTGTCTCCCTCTCTCTCACTCTCAAAAAAAAAAAAATTAAAAAAAAAAATAAATAAAAAAAAATAAAAAGATAGATTCAGGGCTGGCTGGCATGCACAAGACCCTGGGGATTCATAGTGTGGGGCAATGTAGCTAAATCAGAAATAATGTTGATAGTGATTTTATAGGTCCAGATTAAGTGGTGAAAGATTTTATTTTAATCATCTATCACCCAAGTAGACTGATGTGACTAGTAACATTGTTGTGATTTTCACATATTCCTACTGGCATAAAAATAATAAGCACTAAGTGCTTCCTCATTCTGAGAAAAGTCACATCAGATTTACTACTTTTCCCTTCTTTTTATTTTGAGTTATTTATTTAAATTTTTTTTTTTAAGTGCCGGGAATCAAACCCAGGGCTTGCTAGGCAAGTGCTCTAGCTATATCCAATGCACTGAGCTACATCCCCTGCCTGTGTCCCTTCCTCCCTTTTATTTATTTATTTTAATATTTTCTTGTAGTTGGACACAATACCTTTATTACTTACTTATTTATTTATTTTATGTGGTGCTGAGGATTGAACCTAGTGCCTGGCAAGTGTTCAGCAAGTGCTCTACTGCTGAGCCACAACCCCAGCCCTGTGTCCCCTTTCTAAAGGGCAACTTATAAGAAAAAAAGTGCGTGTTTCTGAAAATTCAGTAGCATGGGATAATAGTGTGCAACATTAGAATAAGTGAAGTGTTTTCCTTTTGTCAACTGAAAACAGACCCAAAGAGACACTTGAGCATGTGTTAACATGAATGTTATGTTGGAAGAGTGGTGGGTCTACCAGCTCTGTTGGTTGTTTTGATTGTCTGGCTCATGGCCAAAGTACTGGGAGTGACTAGAAAGTTAAAGGAAGTAGAGAAGAAGAGCACTCATTAGATAGTTGCTGATTTAAAGGCTAGATGTTTCTGTACTCTGAAGCAGAGGCTCTATCTTTATAGACTTGTTAACATTTCAGCCTTATCCTTTACTTGTTTCGTCTTTTGACTAGAGAAAAGTCAAACTTTATGGAAATATTTCATCAGAACAAAAATCTTGAAAGCAAAGAATTATAGAATCTTAAAATGCACAGTGTTAGGAGGGACCATTGACTCACTGCTCTGATAGAAGCACTCACACCCTTTAAATGTGGTCTTTGTCAGAACTTGCTTGCTTTTTCTTGGTAGAAAACTTGATAGAGAGGAGGCCAGACAGGAACCTTTCTTTTTTTTAGCAGGGCTTCAGGCCCACACTAATCATGTAAATTTGGAGCAGTTGTTCCAACAAGATAACTCAGAGAATGTTTTTCTGAACCTATATTTTCATTTATTCCAATATCTACTTTTTTTGAGTGGGGTGGTTCTGAGGATTAAACTCAGGGGACTCAACCACTGAGCCACATCCCCATCCCTATTTTGTATTTTATTTAGAGACAGGTCTTACTGAGTTTCTTAGTGCTTCACCATTGCTGAGGCTGGCTTTGAACTCCTGTCTCAGCCTCCCAAGCCACTGGGATTATAGGTATGTGCCACCATGCCTGGCTCGAATATCTGCTTTTAAAACTTGGAATTAGTTGGGGGAAGGGGGTTTCAAGATGGCAGGCTAGAAGGAGTCTGCATTCTTTGTCACTCTGTGACTTGGGGTTCAAGTGGTGGGAATACTATTTCTCTGCAAGTGATTAGAGGACCCCCAACAGCTGCTCCTGCAAGGAATCACAGCTGCTGTGCTGTGCAGGTCTCTAGGCCTCAGTGTCAGCGCAGTACTCCCAGTTACTTGTCCACGCAGGACCTGTGGCTGCTGTGCCCAAGCAGGACCACTGGCATCAGCATCCCTGCGAATCCCAGCTACTACTCCCACACAAGACACCCGGCTGCTGCCCAGATGCAGGACCTCTAGCTGCTACTCCCATGTGGATCCCCGTCTATCAACGTGGGGCTCCCATAGTCGCCTCTATCTTGGGACACTGCAGCCACTACCATAGTACCCTATATGCAGTAGCCTGCACCTGGGGACACCGCACAGGGTCTGGAGACAGGCGCCAACCACAACACTGCATGCCACAGAACTGCATTTCTGAACAGCTGCCCAATGCTACCACCCAGTACTACCCAACTCGACACCCCATCACTGAAAGCAGCCGCCTCCATCTTGGGACACCTTTGTTGCCATTTTAGTTGGGGCTACTCCCAGCTTGGAACACCTGCTGGGGCTTAAAAGAAATATCAACTGTAGTTGCCAGTTTCCCTCTCCCTGGCGGCCACTATCCCGGCACAGTGTTTGCGGATATGCAGTTGGTCCTGAACTGCCTGATACAAAACAGCTCTCTGCAGCCAGTGTGCAGTCCCCAGAGAACAGCCCACAAGAC